CATGCCAGATTAGAATAAAATTCAATTAAAATCCTAGAGACATCTAGGTATGCACAGAACACAGGACAAAGGGATAGAGAGAGGATAGAACTTGCCTGCGATTTCAATTATGAAATCTCGGCGTCGTGTCCACTGTTTCGGCAACACGAACCTCTGTAAAGCCTCCTAGTGCTCTGGAATAATCCACCAAAATCCCACCTTGGTCCCCTCTGTTCTTCTCTTTGCCACCCATACAGTGTTCTGTTCCTTCTACCCTCTGCTTTTACAGAATTATCTCCCCGTTTTTGTTCTATGAGTTATGAGCGTAAACCCTAGACTATAACATAATGGTTGTATTTATCGACTTAAATTCTAAAATCCTCATTCTTGTAATAATAGAGACAGAGCCCTAACGTTACCCCAAGTCGGCTATAAAGCAACCAAGATGTATCCATGTTGGTTAAACACACTATCTTCCTAGAGACCCTAGTTAACTAACGTAATAACCAAAACTCATTTAACTTATTTATATCAAAATTAATAATTACTAAATTAATCCATTTAAACACACAAGCCAAATTAATTTAATTAAAAAAAATACAAGAAAAGAAAACAATCTATTTAAATCAACCAATAAAATAAAACCAACAATTAATTAAAATAAAATCCAACAAATAACCAATGTGACACATAAGCACCTAGCCACAAAAACAAATTAAAATTTCACACAAAATAAAATTTAAATTCCAATTTTATCATTTTGAAAATTAGGGGTATTACAAGAGACACCAAACATCAGTTTAAGTTCTTTATATGATGCAGTTCATACAGAGTATGGGGTTGAAGCTCATAGGATGCAACTTGATAGAGCAAAAAAGAAGGTTCTAGATGAGCTTGAGGGAAACCATGGGAAGAGTTATAGTTTTCTCCCTATGTATGCTACTGAGGTTATAAAATCAAACCCAGGAAGCTTGGTAGAATTTGAGCACCACTGGCCAACTCCCACATCCACACCAGAATTCTAAAGAATTTTTATCTCATTTGAGGCAATGAAAAGTGGCTTCCTAGAAGGTTGCAGGCTTTTTATAGGATTGGATGGATGCCACCTCAAGGGTGTCCATAAAGGTGTGTTGTTGGTTGCAATTGCCCTTGATGGGAATAATGGACTATTTCCTATTGCATTTGGTGTGGTGGACAGTGAGAGTAAAAGTAGCTGGACAATCACTTGCACACCGTTATTGCTATTGGGACTGAACCAAGGCATTGGTGTTTCATGTCAGACACGCAGAAGGTATATTCCTCTCTTATTTAATTTTTTTTTTTTTTTGTTGTATTCTCATTTAAATTGTTAATAACATGAACATATATGTCATGTATGGATTCAATAGGGTCTTGAACAAGCAATAGCCAACATTTTTCTTGATGCTTCTCATAAGAGATGTTGTAGACATCTCTTTAATAACTTTAAGAAGAACTACCCTGGGTTGATGGTAAAAAGATATTTTTGGAGGGCTGTTAGGGCATATAATGCGCTTGATTTTCAGGAAGCTGTGAACCATTTGAGGGAGTTGTCACCTAAAGGTTATGATTGATTAATGAGAAATGTTTTAGTTGAGAGTTAGTCTAGGCATGCATTTAATGAGAGGGTTAAAAGTGATCATGTGACAATCAACATGGCAGAGAGCTTCAATAGTTGGGTGGGTGAACTTAGACATAAACCCATTTTAACTTTGTTGGATGGAATAAGGACTAAACTGATGGAAAGGATACAAAAAAGGTTTGAAAAAGGGTGTGACTTTTCAGGAATGGTCACCCCTAAACATAAAGAAGAAGCTGAACAAAGTATTGGAAGATTCAAGGACTTGCACTGTAATATTTGCTAGTGGTGAAGAATATGAGGTCATGGTTCAGGGATTTATATATGTCATTCACCTTGGTAGGAGGACTTGTATTTGCAATTCATGGCAAGTCAGTGGTTTTCCATGTAAGCATACAGCAACAACTATTGCTTATAATATGTATAACATTGAGAGGTTCTATAATTCATGCTACACCAATAGGCAGTACTTGGCTGCTTATGAAAACATGATCCATCCAATTGTTGATCAACAATTATGGTCATCTACTAAGGCTGAACGAGTAGATCCTCCAACTTTGAGAAGGTTACCTGGCAAACCTAGAAAGAACAGAAGAAGAGAAGTTGATGAGCTAACTGCAGACGTTAGTGAGGTGAGAAGGTCTCTAACTGTGAGATATAAGATATGTAAAGCATTTGGGCATAATAGGAGGACATGTCAAATAGCAGAAGTGAGAAATAAAGGGTGTAGCACACAGGCCAATGTTAACCACAAGCAGCAGGTATTCCATGTTCTATTGCTTGTTTTATTTCAAAAAATTATATGAAATCTTATTTTATTTAACTTGTTCTATAACTTCTGTTGTGTTAGCCACAAGTTAGAAGAAACAGCGACACTCAAAGTAGTTAAGCAACTGTAAACCGTTCATGTATGAATGAGCAGCAGGTATACTTTTATTGATTGTTTTTAGAGCTCATTATTTTAGTTAATTTCATAAAGTATTTAAATTAATCATATATAGAGAGGGAGGGGAATTGGAAGGGGAGTCGATATGACCCGACAATAGGTATAATTATTTTGTTTAGTTATTTTTATTCTCTGCGGGTTTTTTTATAGCTTATAATTTTATTTTATTTATTAATATTTTATTTTTTTGGAATGAATCATATAAAGAGAGCGATGGGAATGGGAATGAGAGTAAATAGTATGAGTCAACCACAGGTTGGAGTCAATGTGAACCAGCAGCAGGTATAATAATAATTATTATTATTATTACTATTATTTTTTATTTTTTAGGTTGTATTTTTCAGCTTATAACCTTTTTTATTTGTTTCAATGAATCATATAAAGAGTGGGAGAGGAATGTAAATTGGTGTCAATGTGAACCAGCAACATGTATAGTTTTTTTTTTAATTATTATTTTTCCCTTTGTTCAGTTTTTATTTATTTGTTTGTTTGCGTATAACCTATATTTTTTTTTTAAATGAATCATATAAAGAGAGGGAGAGGAAAGGGAATTGGAGTCAGTAGTATGAGTTAGCCACATGTTGGGGTCAATGTGACCCAGCAACAAGTATAATTATTTTTTTAGTTTGTTCTTTTTCTTTTCTTTTTTTCTTTTTTCTTTTTTCAAGTTTTTTTTTCACATATTATAATTGAATGAATCATATACAGAGAGGGAGGGGGATGGGAAATCTGAGTCAACCAACACCAGTTCCACCAACGGCATATTCTGCAGGAAGGGGAGTTAGTAATATGAGTCTACCACCTGCAAGGATGAACGTTAACCATCAGCTGGTATAGCCTTGGTTGTCTTTTTTTTTTTTTTTTTAACTTATAACATATTTTAATTAGATGAATCATATACAGAGAGGGAGAGTGATGGGAAGTCTGCTTCAGCCAACACCAGTTCCACCAATGGCATATTTTGCAGGAAGGGGAATTAGTGGTATTAATCAACCACCTGCAAGGGTAAATGTCAACCATCAGTTGGTATTGTCTTGGTGTTTTCTTTTGTGAATAATTTTTTTTTTTTTTTTTTAAATAGTTGTATATATATTCAGCTGGTACAATCTTGGTGTTTTTTTTTTTTTTTATAAAAAAAATACTTGTATATATATATATATTCAGCTTACAATAAACTTCAATTAAATGAATCATATACAGAGAGGGAAAGGAATGGGAAGTCTGAGTCAGGCAACACCAGTTCCATCAACATCTTCTGCAGGAAAGGGAGTTAATAATGTCAACGAACATGTATGTTTTTCTTTTTCTTTTTCTTCTTGTATTAAAAAATAACTAATCATCATTTCTATTATGCATGCATAGGTTGGAACGGTTAACAAACTACTAGGACAGAGAGGGAAGGGAATCTGTGTAGGATCTTTCCATGGAAGGATAGTTAGCAGGGGAATGACACATTCAACGATGGGTAGCAATGTTGGTCATGGTGCAAGCTCCTCAAGCCAAATCAATTAATTACAGTTCCATTTGCAAATATCTTTTTTATTTATAAACTTTGTAGATGAATGCTACGTACTGATGTGTAGCTCTTAAACCCAGGTTTTTTGTGTTGTGATACAATAAATTGCAAATGATGTGGTACAATGTTTTTTTGGGGGATGCAAGTGACTTTTTTTTTTTTTTTTTTTCCTGGTGAAATGAAGTTATGTAATGACAATATAGAACCTGTTGGGTCTTTTATTAATTATGTAGTGAAAATTATGTTCACTATTAATTATGAATTTTTATTATATTTTTGGTTTTACTTCTCTTCTTGTGAATTTTTATTAAGAATTTTTACTATTTTATGTTTTTGTTTTAACTTATAACAAGTTGATCTAATTTTATTGATTTGTCATATGTGGCAATCTTAATTTTTTGCAAGTTAGGCAAATTCAACTGAGATGATTCCATCTGTAAACAAATTAAATAGGACAAATAATCAATATAAATAATCAATATATTAATAGAAAATCTCTAATACAATACAAATCATCAAATATAGAAAATATTCAATATAATATATAGAGAGAAAATGAAGGGAAATGAACCTGTTCGATGTGACGTGAAAAATGGAAGGAAATGTGTGCTTCATTTAGGCGTGACCATATTATTTGGGCAAAATGGTCTTCATATATATTTGGAGGGCAATATGGGCTTTCTGTAGTTTTAGATTGCTGACATCATCAATTAATTGACGAAAGTTTGTTTTAAGGGAGGCAAATGATATTTTGAATAATTGAGAGGAGTTGTTTGAGCTTTTAGCTAACTAGAGGGGAGGTAAATGTAATTTACCCTATATTTTTTTAATCTGATTAGGAAAGTTAGAATTTAGCAATTTCTTTTCCTACTATTATCAGGATGGTCAAACAGCTTTTCTATATATATATATCCCATACAAAAAAAACTACGTACGTTTCTATTCTCTCCTCTTTTGAGCCCTAGAAAGCTGCTCCCTTCTTCTCTTCCCTTGTAAGTGTAGCTCGCTCGGAGAAGCCAAAGCCAACCCATAGTTTTCTCTAACAAGTTCTGGTAAATAATAATTTCGATCTATTGGGATCCAATTTCACTCGAAACTCATTATTTGATGTTTTTCTTGGTCTAAAATTTGGATTATTTTGTTTTGGGTTTTGTGGTGTAAATTCCTTTTGTTGTTGAATTGTGCCGATTGGGTATGCAATTAATGGGTAAAATTGTTTTTTGTTTTTGGGTTGGGGTTGAGCTGATGCTGCACAGATTAGACTTGTGTTTTGTTCCGGTAAAAGTTAGAATCGTTTTTTTAGTGTAAATTTTGTTGTATTTTAGGAAGGAAAAAAAAATTAAAATTTAACAAAAATAATTTATTATTAATTTTTGATAATTTTCAGGAAGTTATTTTATTTCTAATCTCAACATCTACCTAGACTTTGGAAGTAAGAATAAAAATAAAATTTTACCTAAATAAAAAAATATTTTACTCTAGCCTTAGTTTTTAGTTTTTATATTTGTTGCCATTACTTCATTAATTTTTTTAGTCCAATTATCTTTCTTTTTGGGTGTTTGATTTTAAATTCTTTGATCTCCTTTTGTTGATGAATCGCCGACTGGGTATGCTATTTATGGGTAAAAAAATATGTTTTTTTTTTTTTTTCAATTTTTAATTTTTTCTGAGTTGGGAGTTGAGCTGATGCTAGGATTAGAGTTATGCTGATTTTGGTACAAGTTCAGAATTTTGAGTTTAGTTTCTCTATCTGTTACAATTACTTTTTTTTTTTATATTTATTTTTTAATTCAAATTTTTTTGCCTGTCACATTGTATGATTTTAATTTCTTATATGTTTTTATTTTTATTTTTTATTGATCTCCTTTTGGATATCTCTCCTATTCTATTTTCTCAATTGACAATCTCACATTAATTTCCAGGAGAATGAACCAGTACAGAAGCAGCAGCAGCTTTAGCAGTGTGGAAGTCGTGTCACAGTGCGATGACCTTGTAAATGAGATTTTGCTTCGATTGCCTCTACACTCCGTCTTCAAGTTCAAGTGTGTATCCAAGACATGGAACCGTTTGATCTCTGATCCTATTTTCTGCATCAATTACCAGTCCCAGAGAAAGAATTCTCCTCCCCCATTGTTGGGATTCTTTCGGGTTACTCTCACCAATGATCAGTCAATACTTAAGCTTTCATTCCTTCGAAATTGTAAAGAAAGGAAAGTTACAAAGTTGGATTACATTGAAAACTATTTAGTTATAGATAGTTCTCCTGAAGGCCTAATACTATGCAATTTAGAAACGTTCCAGGGTTTCAATTACTTCGTTTGTAATCCCATCAGAAACCAATGGTTTGCTCTTCCTACACCAAACAATGGACACGGTCTATCCTTTGTGAATTTGTCGTGTGAAGAATGTAGCAAAGATGGTGTGGTACATTTCAAAGTAATTGCAGCTTTCTTTGAGAAAGAGGAGCCAGCCACATATGACAGATTACATATAGAAACTTTCTCTTCTCGAACAGGCGAATGGAGTGAATCATTTCTCACTTCTCCATCTGAATTTTCACTTGGGAAGTCGTATGGAGGTCAATCAATAGATGGGATCTTCTACTGGAAAGTTGGTGGTCATTTCATCGCTTATGATCCCAACATGGGGGAAAATCGTCTCTGGCTGATAAGGTTGCCTGCTCGTTGCACCAAGAAAGAGCATCAGCCATTTATGAATTTTATATTGGGACAATCACCGGATGGTTGTGTACGGTTTGCCATAGATGACAGAGATCAATTCATAGTCTGGGATCTCAAAAAGAAGCTTTCTAGTTATAGTTTATGTCACACTATACCAAGCAGTGAATGGATGCTGAAGGAAGTTGTGGGTTACAAGATGTTGAACATCATTAACTATCGCGCCACTGGTGGTGATCCTTACATTCGTCAGCTTAAAAAATATCCAAGTCTGAATGCGTTTCATCCTCGGAATTCAAAATTGGTGTATCTCCGGCGGGGAAGCGTGATATTTTGCTATGATTTTGAGACTCGAAGAGTGGAACGAATTCAGTATCATGGAAAGGGAACTGTCATGGCAAACGATAGATTAGATCCTTACTTCGAACCTCCTTGGCGCCCGTCTTTGCCCCGTTTACGTTAGTTTGAACTCTTCCTAGGCTTAGGTTACATCAATTTAGGAAGCCTAAATAACAAATTGGTCTATTTTAACAATTTATTTTTTCTTTGATTGTATTAAACAAAATAGGTGCATTGACAATAATTTGTATTTTGGCAATTTATGAAGCCTAAATAATAAATTGATTTTTTTAACAGTTTATTTTGTTTTTGGTTGAATTAAATAAAATAGTTACATATGCGTTAAGACAATTGGTTTCATTCAGTTTCTATTTGCATCCAAATTCAAGTAGACTATTAACCCATCTTTTCACAACGCTCCTTCACTGTCATTGTTTTTTTGTCCCAAGGCAACGAAAATTTCAACAAGCACCATGGTAGCGTGACTAAGCATATTTATGCTATCTCTCTATATATATATATATTCAGTTTGCCTGTCTAAATTGTAAAACGTTTGGTTGATGCAAATGAATTATTCATTTAAATGCCTAATTGAAGGGTTGGGGATTAAAGGTTGACACAAATCCTTTTGGCCGAATAAGATACTAAACACTCTTTAAAACTATCAAATCTTATGTGACTTATTGGTGCATATATTTCTTAAAACATTCTTTGTGAGGTTCTTGGAATTATTTTATTTGAGAGGTGTAATTTAATATTTTAAAATAAGAGTTTGGAAGACATTTTAGAGCTAACTAATAATTGTCAATTCATACGTAATTATTTTATTTATATAATTAAATCAAAGTAAAAAACGATTTTGTTATTTAGGACTTCTAATACCATACAAATTTGAGATTCCAATTTATATTGCATTATCTGAGCTTTGGTTTTTTAAGTGCATTGTTGTCATTTGGGAAACGTGGAAGCAGAAAACATTCTCGAGAAGGTTGCTGGAGTAAGCTGTTTGTACAGATGAGCTCCTCTGAATAAAAAAATAATATAAAAATTAGATTTTAAGTAATCAAACTAAAATAAAATTGCTTTAAAGTGACTTCAATTGGAGTGGTTGGGTGATGGTAGTGGCATTGCCAATAGTCGTGGCGGGGTGCTGTCGTCAATTGTGGTGGTACCGGGCTGCCGGTGGTGGTGGTGGTGTCGTCAATTATGATGGAGGTGGTGGCTCTGGTATTTCCGTTGTGGCATTGATTTTGGGAGTGGTTGTCAACTAGAAAAAGAAAATAAAAGAAAAATTATAGTTTAGTGACTAAAATCAAAGATAATAGCAGTAAAGTGAACATAAAGTTACAAAAAAATAAATAGTTAGTAATATCATAATTATATGGCTCTTAAAGGACCATTTGAGGGTACTTTTGTCAAATAATTTTATGTATTTGCCAATAACAAGTATATAATTATTTTGTGTTTTTAAGTTTGAACACGGCCAAGAAGAAAGGGAAAGAAGGGTTGGAATGGGAAATACAAACACCCCCCCTCCCAAAAAAAAAATAATAAATAAATAAGTAAAATAAAATTTAGAACTTATCAATAGAGCTGCAAATATACCGACCTAAGCCTTGGCATGCTCGGGCTAGGCTCGCCACAATTAGGGAGGCGCCCTGGCGAGCCAAAAATAGCCAAGCTCGAGCTCGGCTCGTCAGAAGGGCTCGTCTACGTGCGCGCGCACAAACACACACACACACACACACACACACACACATATATATATATATATATATATATATATATATATATATAGGACACAGAGATTAACAATGCCAATATACACAGCACGTACATATATAAGTATATATAATACAAAACAGATTAGTGTTTAAATATAACACAAATATATCATATATATCAATGTGTTGAGTTATAGATCTATATATATATATATATGGGTCAAGTGCAGAAAACACCCTTCAACTATGCTTAAAGTGCATATCATATCCTTTCAGTGCAAAAAACACTCCTCAAGTTTCAATTTGGTGCAATCAAGTCCCTCTAGCACATTTAAAATAAAACTGGACTAAAGTACCCTTAGTCAACAATTTTATAAAATATATAAAAATACAAAATTTTCTAAAAAGACTAAAATGGACAATAAATAGTGACGTCTTTGTTTTGTACACCCATTTTGCAATTTGGTTTGGGTGAGGCATCGAGACGACGATGAGGATGGCGGCGATGAGATGGCAGAGGAAGGAATGTCGATTATAGGTATGAAATTGGATTGACTCAATTGCTTGAATTGAGCTTTGTTGAGAGTAGAGCATAGGAGAAAAATTAACAATATACGTTAACACTAAAAAAATTTAAGGGTGTGGGTGATGGTTTGGGTAATTGAAGGCGTCACGACCCTTGGAGAGAAGGAGATCAGCGGAGGAATCGGCCATTGCCGCCTCGCCCCAATTACATCCGCCAGAGGCAAAGAACAACCATGGATAAAGGCACCAACTAACCCAATTGCAATCAAAACATAGTCCAATCCATTTGCAAATTTGAAACTAAAAATCTCACCAAACCCATATGAAGGTGGTGACTGGTGAGCTTTAATATATATATAAACAGTGGGAGAGACCCAATCGGCAAAGCAACTCCGGCGACCATGAACACCGACGAGACTCGAGAACTTGTTCGATTTTAAGTTCTCTGCAAGAGCTGTGAGTTGCCAATGCGAGCACCAAACGCCGAAATTCAACGCCGTTGAATCTACGACTGTGTAGTCGTCGTTGAATCTGCATCATCGCCGTCGGCTGTGTAGTCGCCGTTTAAATCTGCTCTCCGAGGCTCTGCGTCATCGCCTACATCTTCTTCGGCTTGCCGTCACGTGCGAATTGGGTATCTTTAATGCGATCTTAAACGTTGAATACGACCAATTTCACTTAATTGTTCCTATAATTATAGTTTATCAAGCTTTAATTGTTCACATTGATTCATAATTGCAAGTTTATTGCAATTCTAGAGTTTCAAACTGAAAATTGCACGTTAGTGGCTAAGGAGAAGAGTTGCTGATATTGCTTGTTGTTTGAGTTCTGGGTTTGAAATAATTTTGAGTTCACAGGCCTATTGTAGAAGGCGAAGAGAGTGGATCTTGATTCCATTTCACAGACCCATTATCCTGGGTTCGCAATCTTGGCATCGAGATCAGGCCACCGCCACCTCCAATCCACAACCCGTAAACCATCGATACCACCGGAGCAGTCGCCGTGTATATATATGTGTGTGTGTGTGTGTGTGTGTGAGATTGATGGGTGTATATATATGTCTGTGTATAAATATGTATATATGTATGTGAGTATATTTATATATATATGAATGGATGAGATTGATGTGTGTGTATATATATAGATAGATATATACGTGTATGTGTGTATATATATTTGGATGAGATTGATGGGTGGAGTTAAGGAGTGAATTATGGTGTGAGGAGGAGGAGGAGGCTGTACCATCAAGTGGTGGTTGAAGAAGAAGAAGAAGTCGATGGTGGTGAGAGGAACTGGCGGCAGAGAGTAGAGATAGAAGGTTGGGTATTTTCGGAAGACTAAAAGGACAAAATGGGTATTACAACAATAATTTAGGGGTGTTTATTGCACATAGGTGTAATTTTACACAATTTCAAAAGATTAAGGGTGTTTATTGCACACTTTTTCAAATATGGGGTAAAAGTGTTACTCAGAGTATACTTCAGGAGTGTTTTCTGCACTTAACCCATATATATATATATATATACCTCTTCAGGTTATTTGAAATCATTTACAATTAGCAATTTTTTTCATTAGTCTTCCATTGTTGTCCTGAGAAAATGAAACATTGAAGGGCAGTCGGTGAAAGAAGAATCGTTGCAGAGAAGGAAAGAAGAGAATAGAGAAGATGAGAGGCGTTGCCGCTGCCGCTGTCGCCTATGCTTGGTTCGTGGTAGAGAATGAAAGTAGAATAAGGTTTGTTTGTTAACATAAATGGGTTGGGTCTTTAAAATAAATATGTGCCATTTTTATTGGGCTTTGTTATTTAGATTGTAGTAATAGTTTTCAACTGGGCCTATCATGTATAATTGTAATGGACTCACATTTATGGGCTGGATCAAAAATTTATAAATGGCTAATAAACAAGCCTTATTCACGAGCCTAAATGAGTTCATATTCACGAGCCCATATGAGCGCTTAACTTTTTTTGGGCTCGGCTTGTTTACTAAACGAGCCTAGAAATTGGGCTTGAGCTCGGCTCATTTTCTTAACGAATGAGTCCAGCCAAACTCTTAGCAAGTCGAGCCCGAGTTGTTCATGAACAACTCAGTTCATTTGCAGCCTTACTTATCAATAGCTATTCTCGTGAGAACAGAAGAAGAAACTGTAGAGAGAGAGAAAAACAGTATGGATCCAAAGGAGGAGAAGATTTTTTTTTTTTTTTTTGAGTTTGATACATTTTAGAGAGATTTATAAAATGAACACTTATTTTTATAGAATTTGTATAATGATTGAGTATCAAGGATTTGTTCCCAAAAATAGATAAGAGAAGATAATTATTATGTGATGTTTGTCAATAAAAAGGTATTAATAAAATTTATTCTCAAATAGTCACTAAACGACTTTTTGAAACTTTATGGTCACTTGACTAATTTTAAAGTTATTACGTTTAACGGTGAAGTAATCTTAACTCCCTTCACGTTTGTCAAAAATTGCTAATAGATTAAACCAGTGAAGAAGAAAGGGGAACCTCCCTTCAAGTTTGGTAAACTTTGCCCTCATATCTCCTTTGTTAGTTGACTGTCAAAAATTGCTAATAGATTAAACCAGTGAAAAAGAAAGGAACCTCCCTTCAAGTTTGGTAAACTTTGCCCTCATATCTCCTTTGTTAGTTGACTGTCAAAAATTGCTAATAGATTAAACCAGTGAAAAAGAAAGGAACCTCCCTTCAAGTTTGGTAAACTTTGCCCTCATATCTCCTTTGTTAGTTGACTGTTAGGCATGTCAAAAGTCAACTAATTTGAAAAAAAAAAAAAATATCAAAATTACCATTTCTTATTGTAAAATGTCCAAATAAACCTTACTCACTTTTGAAAAGTACAATTTTAATCTTAACCACTTGGACGTTTACACCCTCACATGTACTCCTGCAACCTCATTCACTGATCCAACTTTGCAAGCACCTTCTATCTTTGAGAAGGTGCATTTCAAGTTTGTT